ATTAAACTTTGAAAGTTAAATTCTGTCCAATCTTGATGTTGCGCAGCCAGGTCATTTGTCGTCTACCCGGGCCGCGTCTGCCTTCTATTTTTTCTTCTATAAAAGCTAAGGAAGTTATACCTGTCGTGTCTAAATATGTGTCCAAGATAAGACGTTTTACGCTTCTTGACAATTTCTGTGAGTTCACGTTCTCTATTCATACGCCTTAAAACTTCTTCATTTCTAACGCGTTCGGTCCATGGAATTTTCAGCATATGACGAATTACCCGCAATTCTCACAATATCTCAAAGCTTTCTAAACATCGTAACGAGCTGAATGTTAACGTCCCAGTTTCCACGCCGAGTAATAGCATACTATCTACATAACACTTTATCATGCGGTATCATAGGAATAAATCAAGATTACGGATAGTGAGCAACTGTCGCATCTTTAAGAAGGTGTTTCTTGCCTGTTCTATTCTACATTGTTGTTTGCTTAACTAATAAAAATGCTCTTCTTTTGTCTTAATATTGATATTTTCAGTTAGGATTGAGATTAAACGCACGTCAAGAAAGCACGTACTGCTGCAATTTCAATAATACTCATAAGCATCGTAGCTGGCCAACTTTTGCAATTAATGGTTGTAGATTTTTTGGCTTATGTACGTACCGTAGTATCTTTATCATCAAAACGCATCCAGCTGGTTAATTGTAAAAAACTGCGGGAAAATTTAGCGATATCTTGAAACAATGGTCATCTTGCTGGAATCATTCTTACTAGCTCTCGATTACTTCTGAGAGCACCAGCGTAGATTATCAGTCCAATATATGCGTAGATTTCAATTTTGTCAACGTTTTTGTGACCATCTGCTTCTTCTTCAGTGCCTCATCCAGCCCAAATGTTTGCGTTCATCAAGTCCATCATGGTTTTGTTGACTGCTCTGTGAAACAGCTCCGCGGAGGTCATCCCAAAGCATTATCGAAGATTTTTTAATCACGAGGTACGAGGGCGTCCCGGTCCTCTCCTGCCAAATACTTTACCCTGCATAACGAGTTGAAGAATTCAATATTTTTCTGTGTTTCTAATTATGTAACCGAGGTACTCAAGCTTACGTTGTTTCGCTAAATTAAGGACTTCTTTTTCTTTTGTCATGTGCTGTAGGACCTCAACGTTGGTGATATGGTCCACATACAATATTGTAGTATCCTTTTGTAGATCCACATCTCTAAGGCCTTCATCGGCTTTTCAGTAGCTTGCGTCAGTGTCCAGGTTTCAACTCTATATAGTAACACTGGAAGAATGTAAAACCTCACTATCTGCGTCTTGGTTCCCAAACTGAGATCACTGCAGCACAGCAAGGATCTCAACTTGAAAAAAGTAGATCGTGCCATGTCAATTCTGGATCTAATCTCTTGAGCGTAGCCCACTGCGAGGTAAGGGTAATTCCGAGTTAAGTGAATCTGTGGATTCGTTCGCTACCTGCCATTAGTGCCCCAGGATCTAAATTTACACGCCTAACAATCATGAATTTAGTTTTTTATATATTATGGTTTAGTCCGTATGTACGCTCACAGTTTTCAATCGGTCTAGTAACGCTAGTAGATCAGTTAGGCTAGTTGCTAGTATGATAGTGTCATCGGCGTAGCGGATATTATTTATCTCTTCACTGACATTCCCATCTCTGGTTTGTGAGGACTTTACTAAAAATTTCCTCAGATATTATATTGAAAAGAGTCGGCGAAGCACACAGCCTTCACAGACTCCTCGCATGAGGAGTATATATTCATAAAAGGTATAAATTCATGATGATTCGAATATCCTTCTCATCCAATCCTACTCTTTGTAGGGCGGCGACCATCTTCAGGTGCTGAGAACGCTCAAATGCCCTGGCGTAGTCAATAAAACAAATATAGACATCACAACTGACATCGCTTAATCTCTAAACTAGACTTGCAGGTAAAAAGTGCTTCACGTGTACCCATGAAATTACGGAATTCAAATTGCATTTTACCAACATTATTTTATTCGCAACAAGAGAAATAATACGATTTCCTACCTGGTGAAACTGAGCACTGGCATATACCGCTCTGATGAGACCTAAAGAGGTCGAAATACGTATAAGCGCCTTGCAGCTGCCCTGTATCCAAACAAAAATCTAATACCGTCATTATGTTTTATTTTCTTCGCATTATTGTATATTGTAAATTCTGGCATGTATGATTAAAAAAAAATCTTAAGTGCATGACTCATAAGGCTCATGAGTGTTTCAAATATTGACAATAGCCATTCCCCTGAGATATTACCGAAATCGTATATGGTGTTAACAGTTTAGTTAACTCCTTCGTGCTCACTTCACTTACCACCTTAATAAGTTTAACGGGTATTTCGTCCGACCTGTGGCCTTACCATTCTAGACTGTTTTAAAGCTGTTTTCCACCTCGTTTTCTAGTATTGACGTCACTGCCATGCAATTTATTTCTGAAAAGTTACCTCTGCACTCCCATAAAAGTTCTTCGATGTACATTTTCCAGGTTACCAACTTCTCCTTAAGTGTCATCCCAAGGTTCCCGCCATTGTTTATGAGAAGGTGTGAGTTTCTCCTCTTGTACTGACCAGTGACATCTGAAATCTTTCGGTGAATATTTATATGATCGTGTTTCACTTGGAGCTCTTCGAGTAGTTTACATTTTTCATCGATGTTTCCTTGACTCTTCGCATTTCTGTTTTAATTTTTTGGTATTTCTTCGCATCCCTGTTTTTTATTAATCTCTTTTGGTTCATCATCTGTAGAGTGTCATTAGTTATCCATTTTTTATTTTCTACTCTTTTTTTCTCTCCCAAATGTTTTTCCCACATTTAGCATGACGTCTTTGATATAACTTCATTTTTATTTTACAGTCTGTTATTGGTGTTTAGCGGTTTCTAGTTTTTCTCTCATTACATCTCATATATTCTGACAAGCTACGGAGTCTTTCAGTATGTCATAATCCAGATTATGTGTGGGTTTACTTTCTTTAGTTTGAGTTCTATCTAGCGCACCAACTGGTTTTGGTCCGATGAGACGTCTGCTCCTGGCAAGATCTTCGTTCAACAAGTCAAATTGTTCTCGAATCTTTTGTTAATGAGAACAAAGTCTATCTGGTTTCTGAATATAATGTTGACTATACCAGCAGGTGACTTCCACGTATAAAGTCGTCTTGGCGAAAGTCTAAACCATGTGTTATCAATAGTAAAATCTTCTGGACAAATTTGGATAAGTTGGTCTCCCCTTTCGTTTTGTTCGCCTAAGCTGTGTTGTCCGACGATATCTTTTATTCTGCTTCTGCCAACTATGTCATTGAAATCACCCATGTTGATGGTAAGCTCGTTCTTCTTGGTATATTTTACGGCTTTTCTGATGTTGAAGCGTAAATTTGAATAATGTTTCTACTAACAGGTCTGCTTTGCAGCTTCATCAGTATGACTCTACCAGAGAGAAGTAGCACGCTTACTACAGCACGAGTGACTTTTTGCTCAGAATCACCGCTACGGATTCCAGTGATGTGGTATATCGTTTCGTGCATAATATACCATATGGTCATCCACTGTCTCGATATTTAGTCTTTTTATTTCTTAAACGGTGTTGTGTATCTTTCTTCCTGCAGAAATACTTCAAAAATTCCAATTACAGATTTTTTGAACATTCCACGTGCACACTTTTTCTCTATTAGTGTTTAAATATTGGTAAGTATTTCGTGTATTGACGAGCTGGGGAGCCTTACATTTTCGTGTTTTTTCTTCCCTGTCGGATCTTGGTATTCGAAGTCCATGATCAATACCTTCTCCAAATTGGTTTACATTAACCATGGTTACTGAACTAGGGACTATTTATGAGTGGTTTCCCGTTGCCTTTCCCATCGCAGTGTCACAGCCGTTTGACTCATATTACTAGTGGCGCCTTTACGTATTTATAACTAAGTCTACAAGATTTTTTTTACTTTCCCACAGCCTTAATCTAGTAATGACATTACTAATGCCCAATACCATGTCCTTAGGTAATCCGCGGGTACTTATTTGGCTATGCCTTATTCGTACTTATGCATATATGCAGGGACTTTCCCTATCAGCCATTGGAATGCGCTGTGTCGGGGTTGAGGACTTTCACGCCTAGGCTTTCTTATGCAAAGTACTGAAGGGCCCCTACTTTTTCAAGTCAAACCTGCCTTGTTATTATATAAAAATCACTACATCTCGTACAAAATCTTTAAAAATAAATAACTTAGTTACTTCGTCATACTTATCGATGTTGTAAGACTCTGGCAAATACTGACAACTGTAGATCGTTAAACTTCACTATTTCCTCATCATTGAAATAGCCCTAATCTCCTTTCTTTTTTCTAGGATAATGTTTTTAAAATCTTTCAGTTCCGAGCTGGATAAGGACGATTGTGCCGATTGTGCCTGTTATAATCCGGTTTCGATAAAAAGTTCTTTAAACTATGGGCCAGATTGCGCTGGCTGTCTTATGATTTACAGGATAAATGAAAATGGCATGACAATGACAATGTTAATGTAACTATTACGTTTAAGTTAAAAAAGGAATATTTGTGTTACATAATTGGCCTTTACACTTTCAGATTTTTTTGTTCCTTTATCTTTGTATTATTTTTAAAAAAATAATCGCATTTTGCAAGTAATAGTATCCAGAATTGCGGAGTGGTAATTCGCAGCCACTATTACTGTTTTAAAAATAGGTGCGATTACTGTAATGTTAAAAAATATAACTTGCTAAAATATACTCTGTAAAGAAAAGTAAGGTATAAGATTCATCTAAAACAGATGAGAATGGTATTAAAAGACGATAAATATCATAAATAAACAAGTTAAAAACTTTCTTTAAATTATGGAGATCGAAAATCATCAGAGCCAGATAAGAGAAAGTTTATTGTTTTAAATATACCTTTGTTCCATTGATTTACTTATTTATAATAGATTTAACTACGAAATACCGGTCAACTATTTGATAAAAGTCTTATTTTAGATAACAGTATTGCCCACTGTGGTAATGGTGACCCTCTACCAAATGCTAGATGCGTATCTACAGTTATATTTTCAGACGAAACTTATCCAGATCCAGAACTAACTGCATATGCAGCACAATATGGACAAATAATCGCTCACGATATGGGTCAAAATTTTTTAAGTAAGTTAATAGAACGTTGTGATGTTAACGATTTACAACTAAAAATTACCATATTTTTGTAGCTGGTGATCCCCTGTCATGTTGCAATACGTGGCTTGGACATTGGGACGAACCTCCGGATGATTGTATTAGTATAACAGTACCTGATGACGATTATCATTACACAGACCTTAACGCTTCCTGTATGTCGGTTCTTCGAACTGTGACAAACAGGCAACTTGAATGTTCCCTGTATTTACCCGATACGGCACAGGTAAAAAATTATATCTGAAATTTATATTTTCTTTTATATTGAATCAGTTTTACTCATATAACTTTCACACTTCAATTTTCCTCAATCCGCATTCCTTAATCATAATCTGCCATTTTCCTCATAAATGGGAACTCTATAAGCACGGATACCATTAACCCGGGATCGGTTACACTGTTACGAAAATCTAATATTTTTAGTTTTTTTGCATAGCTTGCAGAATACTGATGAAAAACAATCTGATCAAAGTAACATTGACGTAATTTTTGACCAACCAAAAAATAAAGAGCCAAAAATGATAATTAGCTCCAATTCGCAAAATATTCGATCAATTTGTAAAGGCATGATCTTCAAATTATACCTAATATGGAATAAAAATATATAGCTTACCTGACGACAAGACATTTTGTACGCATAATATGGAAGTGTGTGCTGGAAACCATCCAGAAGCTCCATATCAGTTGCCAAATGATGTTTTTAGTGTAAAAAAGTGTGTGATATTCACTATTGACAAGTCTGAAAGTAACGTGACAATTGAAAATTTATCTGCGTGCAACCGAACGACTCTTTCAAATTTCTTAGCCAAAATATTTTGCGTCGTCCTGGGTTTCTCTTCCATTGTATACTTCCTTGCATAGTTAACCCAAGTAAAACGTACTTCTCGCCCCTCATTATATGACCCAGATATTGAATCTTCCTAATTTTAACAGTTTTCATGGCTTCACATTCTTTCTTCATTCTTTGCAACACGTCTCTATTAGTTACTTTTTCAGTCCACGATATTCTTGGATCCTCCTGTAGCACCACATCTCAAAGAAGATTGGTTTTTTGATTTCAGACTGTTTTATTGTCCACACTTCCATGCCGGATAGTAAAGTAGAATAAACGTAACAACGTAGCATTCTTGTGCGGATCTCTCAATTAAGGTTACGGTTGCAAAGTAAGTTCTTCAATTTTATGAACGTGTTTCTTGCCATTTCTATTCTAGATCTGATTTCTTTTGTTTGATCTCCATTTTCGGTTAGCCACGTTACTAAATATTTATATCTTGTTACTTTTTCGATCGCTGTATTATTGATGATCAGGTCATCTAGATTTTGTGATTTTTTTAAGAATATCATTGATTTTGTTTTCTTTAAATTCATTTGCAATCCGTACCTGTCATGTGCATTCTATACATGTTATATTATGTACTGTAGATCTTCCATGTCACTTGCAAATATGACCGTATCGTCCGGATATTTGATATTATCAATGCTATTTCCGACGAATGACAATGGGGAAAGACTATGCAACCTAGCGACAAGAACAAATTTGTTAATAAGCTCGACAAAATTTGAACACCCTAAAATACATAAGGTAACATGGAGGTCACCGGATCAGAAAACATATAGTCAAATTGATCACATAATGTATCAAAAGATGTAAGAACGTTCAGAGGTACGTGCGCAGATTCAGACAACTACATGGTCACAGCCACTATAAGACAAAAAGTTAAAATTGAAACAAAACAAAAAACCAACACAAAAAGTGGATGTCAATAAATTGAGTAATAAAAAAGTAAGAAAAAAATATGAAGAATCAGTAACAGTTCAAATAAAAGAGAAATATAAAGTAGAAGATATAAGCACAGAATCGGAGACGATCAAAAAATCAATAGAAGAAGGTGCAAATATGCAGGTGCAATAGGTGAGGGTAAAGTTGGAGAAAATGTCGGTGAATATGGCTTAGGTAATAGAAATGAAAGGGGTGATCGTTTAGTTCAGTTTTGTCAAAGCGAAGATTTAATAATAACTAATACATTCTTTAAAACTACCCCCAAGGTAACTATATACGTGGACGTCACCTCAACATACACAAGAAAATGTGGTCAGAAACCAAATAGATTACATATTGGTGACAAAAAGATACCGTAATGCCGTAAAATCTACTAAAACTTTCCCTGGGCTGATATCGGTTCGGATCATAATCCAGTAGTATCTGTGATAGAAGCTAGACCAAAGAAAATAAGAAAAGCCATCATTCCAGCATTAGACTTAAGCCAGCTTAAAAATGAACATCTACGACAAACAGTGCGAGAAGAAATAAACACCAGCCTTAGTGTAGCAGAAAGCCAAATCCGCAGAACAGAACAACATAGATGAAAAACTTAAGTATATAAATACTATAATAAGAACTACGGGAAAGAAACACCTAACCAAATCTGCAAAGAAACATAAGGTGTGGATGACACCAGACATTTTAGAACTAATGGATGAAAGACGTAAAATGAAGAATAATGCAGAAAAATACAGAGAGGTTGATAAGAACATAAAGCAAAGAATAAGAAATGCCAAAGAATCATGGATTACAGAACAATGTGTAGAAATGGAAAACTATGAAAGAAATTATGACACGTTCAATATACATAAAAAAGTAAGAGAAATTACAGGAACCCAAAGAAGACGTCAAATAAGTTTGCTTAAGAACAAAAATGAAAAAATTATTATAGATTTAACAGAGAAAATTAATAGATGGAGTGAATACATAAGAGAATTATTTGAGGACAACAGAAATAACATTGTTCTGATATATGGCGAAACGGGACCTGAAATTCTAAAATGTGAAGTAGAAATGGCACTTAAAAATTCCAAAACTGGGAAGGCAAATGGACCGAATGAGGTTCCTACCGAATTGCTAAGGCTCTTGAATGATGAATCAATAGGTATAATATTGCACTTATTTAATACAATACACAATACTGGTATTATACCTCAAGAATCATGGATTACAGAACAATGTGTAGAAATGGAAAACTATGAAAGAAATTATGACACGTTCAATATACATAAAAAAGTAAGAGAAATTACAGGAACCCAAAGAAGACGTCAAATAAGTTTGCTTAAGAACAAAAATGAAAAAATTATTATAGATTTAACAGAGAAAATTAATAGATGGAGTGAATACATAAGAGAATTATTTGAGGACAACAGAAATAACATTGTTCTGATATATGGCGAAACGGGACCTGAAATTCTAAATGTGAAGTAGAAATGGCACTTAAAAATTCCAAAACTGGGAAGGCAAATGGACCGAATGAGGTTCCTACCGAATTGCTAAGGCTCTTGAATGATGAATCAATAGGTATAATATTGCACTTATTTAATACAATACACAATACTGGAATTATACCTCAAGAGTGGCTGTTGTCTGCTTTCGTTACAATGCCAAAGAAATCTAATGCTAAAGAATGTTCAGAACATCGAACAATATCTTTAATGAGCCACCTACTAAAGATATTTCTAAAAATCATCCACAACCGAGTTTATCAAAAGTTGGAGTCAGATATTAGTAATACACAGATGGGGTTCAGAAAAGGGCTTGGTGCTCGAGAAGCTCTCTTCGGTTTAAATGTTCTTATACAAGGATGCCTAGACGTTAATCAGGAGGTACATACGTATTTTATCGATTTTGAAAAAGCGCTTGACAGAGTACGCCATGATAAGCTTAGAGAGATTCTTGAAAGGAAGGACATAGATAATAAAGATCTGCGAACAATTCTCAATCTATATTGGAATCAGAAAGCTAACATCCAAATAGAAACTGAAACATCACAAGCAATAGAAATACGTAGAGGAGTACGACAGGGTTGCATTTTGTCACCTCTGTTATTTAATGTATGTAGTGAAAGCATCTGTCAGGAAGCCCTTTTACAAGCAAACGGAGAAATCGTAATTAATGGAGAGATTGTAAATAATATTCGATACGCGGACAACACTGTACTAGTTGCAAGAACAGTAGAAGAATTACAAAGATTACTTACAGACATAAATATTGCTTGCAACAATAATTATGGTATAAATAACAATATTAAAAAAACCAAGTATATGGTCTTCAGTAAAAAACATGACACAACCAGCGTATATTAGTATAAACGGCACTCAAGTTGAAAAGTATCAAGTTACAAATACTTGGGAACTTTAATAAACGAAACTGGAGACCAAAACAGTGAAATAAAAAGACGTATCGAAATTTCCAGGGCCACCTTCATAAAGATGAGAAAATTCTTCTGCAACAGAAATATAAGCATCCCTCTACGATTAAGAATGCTGAAAGGCTATGTATTTAACACGCTATTATACGATGTAGAGGCCTGGAATCTCAAACAGAACAACATGAAAAATATTGAAAGTTTCGAGATGTGGTGCTACCGTCGAATGCTGAAGATTAGTTTGGTTGAAAGAATAACAAACTGTGAAGTAATACGAAGAATAGGAAAAGACCCAGAGATTTTGTTAACGCTAAAGCGAAGAAAACTCGAATATTTTGGTCACCTGATGAGAGGACATAAATACGCATTACTTCAAAATATAATGCAGGAAAAAATAGAAGGAAAACGGAATCCAGGCCGTAGAAGAATGTCATGGTTGCGGAATTTGAGAGAGTGGTTTGGCTGCACCACTAATGGACTCTTTAGTAGGTAAACAAGGTCAGAATAGCCTTGATGATTTCCAATCTCCGATAGGAGTGGCACAAAAAGAAGAAGAAATATGCAGATAGGTAAAAGGCTAAAACAAAAACGAATGGTATAACCAAGAATGTAGAGAAATAACAGGAAAAAAAGTGCAAACCAGAAATAAATGGCTAAGAATAGATAAAGAGGAAGACAGAGAAGAATATGAAAATTAAGAAGGAGTGCTAAGAAAGTGATAAGGCAAAATAAAAGAAGATAGGTAGACAAAAAATGCAGGAAATAGAGCAGGAAAGAACAAACAGAAATACGAAAAGTTTCTACAAAAATATTAAAGAACAAAACAAAAAAATACAAGGGCAAAACAAACGGAATAAAAAATAGAGGGGGAATAGTGATAATAGAGGACCAAGAATACAAGCAAGTATGGAGAGATTACTACAGAGAGCTCTTGACGGAGGAAACAACAAAAGAAGAAATGCATAACGAGGAGGAAACAGTACACGAAGACGAAGCAAATGAAGTAAACATCTCGAAATTTTAAAAGAACCAA